ATGAAAACAAGCCAGAAATTGCTGAGATAGGCATAGATTCACAGTGATTTTTCAAATTTTCTTGAAAAAGGGATAAGAACTTCACTTCGAGACGACAATCTTGTTGAATCAAGAGGTTAATCCAACGGGTCCCAGGCATGGGTTTGGTGCTGATGACTCTGTATTTTCCATTGGGATTGTGAATTTCAACCTGCAAAGGCTTCGCCATTTACAAATAATTGACTGTGTAATAACCGCGCGCGTCTTTGAGCTCGTGACTACTGCTTTACATTGCAGTTTAAATCAAATTAAATAATTTTGTTTTTCGAAAAAAAATAAATAAATAATACTTGAACAAATCTTGGAGTAAGGGTTTTTAGGCCTCACGTTTGGAATGAGATAATTAAAATTATGGCTTGGCGACACGTTAGAGGGGAGCTATCTGTTTTCGCTAAGTGACAAGTTCATAGCTTTTATGATCTGAAAATTTTGAGCCACTTCTTGTGATTGAGAGATAAGCTGTGGCCAAAATGCAGGACATAAAGTCAGCGTGGTAGGATTGGGTTTGTTAAAGCTCGACCTTCTTTAATTTACTACCTCAGCTCGATTATTTAAAACTCGAAAACAAAATTTTTATGTAATTTATTATAATAGTTCGTTTTTTTTTTTCAGTACAGAAAAAGAGACAAAGTCTAACTATAACGAGATCAGCACGTTTCTGGTATCCGACACCCATACCACATCATGAGCAAGTCAAGTATTCGTACTTGAAGGTGAATCCCACAAATTGCCAATCGCCAATTGCTTTGCCATATATGAACGTATTGTGACAAGCTAAGCTAGTAAAGCCACTGAAAACGGCGACACCACCACCCAGAGGGTCTCGTCTCACCGTCTAAACCGATCATTTCTTACAGACCTGTAAAAATACGTCTCATCCTCAAAAGGTGAACTCCTGCATGGCACCACGCGTCATTCTCTTAGCGATTGAAGTGTCACACAATCATCATTACATTTTTACTTTTTTCCTGTATAAGGGTGACCCATCGGCATCTCATTTCATAACAAGTTAAACAAGTTAAGCCAATAACACAACAAAACACATACACTAGCATACACATGCTCGCTCTGCAACTATCATTGTAACAATAACTATCTGATAGTCATTTTCTTCAGAGAATCGTTCTCCTCGTCGATCTCCCAGTAGAACGACGAAATCTTGGCAACTGTCCTCATTTTCTTTTTATTTTTCTGAATTTGTTGAACTATCCTTAACCTAATAATTAAGGATCGTTGACGATCACTCAGCAATAGTTCTCATTTTCTTTTTGTTTTTCCAAATTTGTTGAGCTTAAACAAGTTTTTTAAATATCAATCAATCGTCATTGAACATCACATCAACTTTAATTCATTGTAACTCACATAATTTTAACTACCTACCACTTTGAATTATTTTGTTTCTACTATTACAACAAATCAAGTTTATTTATTTTATTTTAAATATTATTTTAATACAAACTCAAAATCTCACTCAAATCTAATCCAGCTACTTTTTCAAATTTAACAATGGTTAACAAAAGGGTTGAACCGTCGGTTGTGATTCTGATTCGAAATTGGCCCGACTGCTCAAAAAGTACATATATGTGGTCCAGAATCAACCTGGTCAAACAACAGGTTCAGTTCAATGCCGTTGATCTCGAGCCGGTTCCAAGCCTGGGCCGAATTGGCGGACCGGTTCGACCCATGGTTATGTCTAAGTCCAATTAAGCAGAAATACAGAGACGCTTATTGCTATATTTTCAGGGCCCAATTGATCAATTCAGCCTCTACTATATTACTGTTAAAGGTTGGTCCATTGGAGGATCACGTAAACTACAAATAATTTTTATCATTTAAGGCCAAATATCTTTAGGGCCAAAAATAATACAAATAGAACTACCAATCTGTGATAGTGGAAACAGATTCTCTTTTCCCCCTCAAATAATAGTTATCATTTAGGAAAAAAAAAATTACCTATATTTTTCTTAACCCGGTGTACTAAAAAAAATATTGATAATAATTTAATAAATTTTTATTAACCGTTTAATAATTAACTCCTTAATCTATTACTATAAAATACGGAGAAGGAAAAATGTTTGAATAAATATTTCGATTTCCCGCTTAAACATCAGTTTTTCCCTCCTTAAGTTTAATTTGAATTTTTTTCATCCACGAATTTGAATTGTTTTTCCACTTTGGGATTTTGATATTGATCCCATTTATTTAAATTGTCGTTAACGTAAATAGTGGCTAAATATAAGTATTTGGGATCTCTTTACAACTTAGAAGACGTGACTCAAATAGAGTCCTCAAATTTGTTGATACTAAATTCCTTAATTAAACATATAATAGTTGTTAAATACATCTTCTAAATACAATCTTCAATTGGTTCCATAAAATCCGTATCTGATTCCATACCTGCAATATCAAAATAAAGAGTCAATTACCAAAATCTAAAAAATTCTAACGATTGTGTAAAGGAAACTTGTGCATAAATATCTCAATAATTTATGATTTGTATGATTAATCCTTTATAAATCAAAGATTTCAATCTATAGTTTTAACCATTCGTATATATTTTAAATTTATATTTTCGAAAGTAATATATTAATAAAAAGATATATGTAAATTTAAATTTATACGAAAATAATTTATTAGGTGAGCAATATATGTACAAATAAATAATTGATTCTCACATGGAATATATAACATGTGTTTAATAATCACTTTACAGATATTTGTTTCTTTTTAATCAAGAAAATAATCAAGTAGTGGATGTTCTTTAAAGATCTCTTCTCTCATTCAAATACCTATAATATATTAATTAAAAACTGTAATGTATTAAAATGAGGTAATATCTCAAAACTTGATTTACTTCCTTCATTTTTAAGATCTCAATTTAATATTCATTTTTTTTATTTTCGAAAATCTGAGGATAAGTCTACAAAAAAAGGTATAATTTGGGTATAACCCATATACACACTATATAAACACCCCATCGGTAACAGATTGAGAGCACGCTCTGATCACAGAAAATTCCCCACAAATCGTCTTTTTTTTTTTTACCTTTCCCTAACTTTTCAAAATGCCTCCTGCTTTTGGTACTATTAAAGACCTCAAAAGAACTTACCGACCCTTCATTAAGCTACGCGTCATTAGAATGTTTATACGCGAGGAGGATAGAGGCTATAAAAATCCCCTCGAATTTATTTTGCACGATTCTGAGGTATTTGAATGACATCTATTTGATAACATTATTTTTTCAAAATTTTATTGTTGCATACTAATTTGAAATAATTGTTTGTTTTATGTACTTTGTAAGGGAGGACGTATCAATGCTCTCGCCCGACCTATGCATATTGCTAATTTCATCAACCAAGTTGAAGAAGGGGTCGTTTATGTCTTGAAAAATTATCAAGTCGAAAGTAATACTGGCATTTACCAAACGACAATAAGCCTTTGGAGGCTTGTGCTGAACAAGGATACCAAATTTATCAAGTGGCCTCATCTTTTCTCCACATATCGTTTCGTCTTTAGAGATTTTGCAACTTTAATGGATATTGACAATATAGATGAAACTATGTTGTTTGGTAAGATATTATTACGTGCTTATTTTTTCTGAATTATTTTATTTAATTTGCAATATTTTTGTCGTGTATTAATTATTAAATTCAATTAACCTAAATTTCTTTATTACATCTTAATTTATAGATGTTATTGGGGTGGTTGTCGAAATACAACCAAGACAAATGAAGACGGTCAAGGGGGTGCCTACGCAAATGATTGTTTTCTCCCTTATGAACTTGGAGTAAGTATATATAACATTATATATTCATGTGGTTTATAATCGTATAGATTGTTATTAGATTTCTTAACATTGTTAACATATTAACTATTAGATTCGAATTTGATTTTTTTTTTGTGGAAGCGATTAATATTCAATTGTATGATAGTCCAATTTTCCGATTTTTTAACGTGGAGTTTATTCGATTTTTTAGAGGAAAAAAGAAGAATTGTACCCTTTGGGGACAATATGTTGATCAACTAATCGCAATTGAGCATCATTATATGAATGAACAACAAGCGTTTGTCATAATCCTGCAAATGTGTCGTGCTAAGGTGTTCGATGGTAATATTTTAATAAATTTAAATCATAATTTTCTTATTTTATTTTTATTTTTTTTTATTGTCTAATTCCATAATTATATTTTTTATTTAGGCGAAGTGCGAATAAGCACATCAAAGGAGGGGTCTGAAAATTCTAATATGTGGTGAACATGATTTGCCCCCAAATCAAACAAATAATGTTGTGTACAGAGAAGTTTTTAATAATATATGATTTCTTTTTTATTTTTATTTTTGTTTCTATAATTAGATGTTAAATTGAATTAATTATATTTAAAATAAGTACTTTAATATGTTTTAAATTACGCCCCCACCGTGCATCGCACGGGTACATACTAATAAAATTTGACAGTGAGATAAATTAATAAAAAGATGGAAAGTTAAAAAGGGGGAAAGAAAATAGTAAAAAGCATTTGAAGAATATACAGTTAAACTGAAAATCCAAGATGATGACAACAAGTCCAACAGATCGGAGAGTAGGTTTAGTCCACAATTTATCCATTTCTCTCCACTTTCTACCCTAAATCCCACTCTCCATCAAAGGGCCAAAACTAACCCACAGAGAACGAGAAAAAAATCTCGTTCTGCGAAAAATTGGGGCAAAAAATCTGTGGGAAAATGGAGAGGCTAATCTATTCCAATACGATCCCCTGTAAACCCCGCCCCAATTCTCCATTTCTCCCCCGGATAACCCGGCCCGATCCGCGCCCGAAACCGACTGCCAGGTGTACGGCGCCGTTTCCCTTCTGGGCCCGGCCCGGATTGCACCGATTCATTTCGTTCTCCTGCGCTGTGGGCGATACTTCTTTGCTGTCTGCAAAGGCTGTAGACGATTGCCCGGGTGAAAGTTTACTTTTTTCTGCAGATTCGGGTAATGGGTCGGATCCTAAGCCCCATTTTCTCAATCGGGTCGCTGAGAAGTTTTCTCAACAGCAAAAGGTATGGGTTTCATTGAAATTCTGTTGATGGACTGTGCTTGTGATTGTTTGGGTTTAACTTGTTTGGTTGATTTTGGCTTATGTTGAATGCTGTTTTGGAGATCTATGGGTGGTGATGGGGGTTGACCTTCACAATGGATTAATTGCTTATCTAATCAAAATGTAAATCAAAACCTTAAAGAAGAAAAAAAATGTGAATTTTAGCTAATATTATCCGAAAATTGCCTATTTTAGCTAGAAGATGAGAATTGCAATTACATTCCGTTTATTCTGAACTCGTGAGCTCCTTTAACAGCATTCAGTGCTCGTCTTCTTTTCGGATAGAATTTGTGTACTGTGATACATTCATTTGACTCTCGATTTATGCTTCCACTTGATTTGATTAAAATATAATGTTCATGTCAACCTTGATCTGTCAAAAATGTCTAAAGATAAGGACTGGCATTGTAATAAAAAATGGAATCTCGAATTTCATCAAGTTCGGCACGAATAAGATTATCACTTTCTCAAATAATTAATCCTACTCTTTTTGTGAGTTGTTGGTATTTCACTCCCTACTCTGAGGAACTCCTTAATCTCAATAACTCCAAATAACATCAAATTATCTCCTTCTCATCCGACTAAAATGTAGCACAAATTCCATGATAATCAAAACTTAACCTTCCTTGCCTTAAAAAAAAAAAAAAACATTTCAGGTTGTGAATTTGGGGATGACAGTACTCCTATCAACCCTCTTCCTAACATTCCTCCACCCGATACTCGTCTGGCCCGCACGCGCAAGCCTTGCCGCCAAGCCCGCCTTGCGCAGCGAACTTCTGAGCAGCGCTTGGACGGGCTTCTTCGCGGGCTGCCTCCACACGCTATCGGGCCCAGACCACCTAGCAGCCTTAGCCCCACTCTCCATCGGCCGCACAAGATTAGAAAGCGCAGCCGTAGGGGCCCTTTGGGGCTGCGGCCACGACGCTGGCCAAGTGCTTTTCGGGCTCGTTTTTCTCCTCCTCAAAGATCGACTCCACATAGAGATAATCCGCACGTGGGGCACTCGTGTAGTTGCCTTAACCCTCCTCGTAATAGGTGCCATGGGCATCAAGGAGGCCTCTGAGTCAGCAGAGCCCATTGATCTGGGCCTGGGCCAAGGCCCGGGCCCAGAGCCCGGTAAGAAAAAGATTGGGCTTGCGACATTTGCGACTGGGATTGTTCACGGGCTTCAGCCCGATGCTCTTATGATGGTTCTTCCGGCACTTGCACTTCCGTCGAGGTTGGCCGGAGCAGCTTTTCTTGTTATGTTTTTGGCCGGGACTGTGATGGCTATGGGAAGCTATACTGTTTTCATAGGGTCGTGTAGCCAAGCGCTTAAAGATAGGGTGCCGAGGATTACTGAGAAGCTCACTTGGGGTTCGTCGATTGTGGCTATTGCGTTAGGGTTTGCGCTTCTTGTTAGCCAGTATTTCGGGTTTAGCTTGTATTAGATTTTGAATTCTTTTGAACTTTTTTTGCGTGATTTTGTCGTTTGGCGCTCCTTGTTAGAATTTGTATTGTGATGTGCCGTTTTTAACGTTGACGTTAGAGACGATGATACGAACTACTTTCTGTTAACACATTTTATTGAGGTGAATCGTTCGAATTAGAAGTATTCTAAAAGAATAGGCGGTATTCGAAGAGAGAGATAGTATGGTAGAAAGATTCGGTATAATAAAGATAAAAATGGTTTTAGTTTCTACAAATCAAAATCTTTGCTTATGTGACCTGTGAATTTGGACTAAGGAAACTACAATCCAAGCATAGAGCATGGTTCAAAGAACAGGTTCAGTTATCACTTATCAGCTTCATTTTATCTGATATTGTTGAACAAAACAAGAAAAATCTTTGCCTTTTCTCTTGAAAACTAATGTGTGTCTTCATGAGGATGCTGAACATAAATGTAGACTTATATTAATGTACTTATATAACATTTATTCGTGNAAAGGGAAGCAAAAGTTTGACGCTACCAATGTGGAGGCTGCCCACATTAGAGTTTGAACCGTTAGATCAATACAGATGTATGGTCACAGATAGAAAAAATGATAATAATAGAGCCGATTTTGTGTAGTAGCATTTACTACAACCTGAGAATAATTGGTGAAGATAAGTGCCAAATTCGATCAAAATTCATATTGAAGAAAATCCCTTAAATTACATTTGGTGGAAAAGAATATTAAAAGGCAAGAGAGAGAATCGTCCCTTTATCATGACGTGAGGAAATATTTGTTAGCCCGTAGAGTGAGTAGTGAAGTAAAGGACAAGTTGGCCCAGACGTTTTGGGATAAATTTTCAAAGCCCAAGTAAAGCATATAAATTTGGCCAATTTGTTTAGAATCTTCTTAGCACGTACTAGCACAAACCCAGTAGGTAAAAGTTTCAAAAATGTTCAGGGCGAATTTTTTTAGTAACCACAAGATTTTAAAATTATTGCATTTCTACAGTGTGAGTGCTTTTATTTGCAGGTATACCTAATCATTTATTTAGGATGAAATAAAAAGATCAGTTACCAAATTAACACCTTCCCTACAATCACGCTATTAGAATATTAAACTGAAAAAAGGGAAGTCTTCCTACTATTTAGGAAACTGCTCATATCAAATGAAAAAGATTAGTTTTAAAATTCCAACGTACTGATATACAAATAATACACGATTTTTTTTTCAGAATATATACAGAAGATATATACAAAAGATATACATGATTAGTTTATAAATTATATATACAGAATATACTGAACATATAGGGCCTATACACGCAACATATACTGTCAATTGTGATTACGGTAACATATACTGAAAAATATACTGTATATAAACGCAACATATCCACAACATAATCTAGTCTAGTACAAATTAATTAAATAGCCATCACCAGTTCATAAAAAAAAAAAAAATGGAAAAGTTGTCCCCGTAAATAAATTTCTCTAAGGTCAACATCTACATCCATGGAAGAACCATAATCTGCCAATCCCTCGTGGTCTTTCATTTGGGCCATCGCATTTACCTTGTTTGTAAAACTGAAACAAGAAGGTCCTCTGAAATTTTGGTCGAAACAATAGCTCGAGCTCAGCAAACCGATTTTCCCTCACAACAAAGATGTCACCGATGAATTATGAAATATAGCACTTCGAGCTGGATGAAGGGCGTCGTGGCGCCGGAAGGTAGCCGGAGATTGGTTGTGCGCGGCTGAGATAGAGGCGGAGCAAGGGCGAGCTCTTGCGGGAAGTTGGGTAACTAAGGGCACAGCCGGTTAGATTGGTTGGATTTAGAGGTAATTGAGATTTAAGAACTTCGGGTTGTGGATGAAAATTGAAGCGCTAGATTTGCAGCCCAGTTGCGATGATTTTCAATTGGAGATGAGATGAGGGAAAGGAGGAGAGATAAAGACGTCGTCATCCCCAAAATGAATGGTGATTGTTACTTTTTTTCATATATGGTATATAAACAAATAAAATTGAGATTTATGGTAATTTTTCAAATAAATTAATAGTTTAGTATATATGCAATAAAAATTCTGTTGCATCGTACGTTGTGCAAATTTCTCAATGTTTAGTTGGTAGGCCCACTACGCAGGAAATCATTAAACCAAGAACCTTCTTTAATGCTTCTGGCTCGTAGAAAAATTAACCCATTATTGATGTGCTCTAGCAGATCGAATAGGTCTTCCAACGGTTCTTTGATCAATTTGCTCCCCCAAGACTTGCAAAGACACTGAGAGATGTTTCCGGTGTTAAACCTCCGACGATCAAGTCAGTAAAGGGCTATGTAAAACTGTATAGAACTGTATTGTAAATGACAGAAACTGGAGAAAAACGGGTGCGGGCTCACTAACATGAAACGCACCATGAACGGGAAAAACCCATATGAAGCCCAAATGATATTCCATCCCAAAACCAATTGGTGGAAGGAAGAGTAGCCCATTAGTCTTATAAGGTGAGCCTATTTTCCATGTATGAACGATGTATGACAAATCACAAGTGATATTCTTACACGCCCCCTCACTTGTGAGTCCTTCGAAAGCCCAAGTCTAACTCGGCTGGGTGACGGGTACGTCATCGCACGGTCACCAATAGAACCGGCTCTGATATCATAACAGAAACTGGGAGAAAACGGGTGCGGGCTCACTAACACGAAGCGCACCATGTACGGGGAAAGCCCATATGAAGCCCAAGTGGGGTTCCATCCCAAAACCAATTGGTGGAAGGCGGAATAGCCCATTGGTCTTATAAGGTAGGTCTATTTTCCATGTATGAAAAATGTGAGACAACTCACAAGTGATATTCTAACAGTAAAGCTTAGAGTATAAAGTGCGTTTAACCTTTCTCTGTTTAAATCTTACCTATTTATAGTGAGTTATTGGCTTATTAAGCAAGCTTTGCTCTATCGGGCTGCCCAAGTGATTATACTGTAGTTTGCGCGACAGTTATTCACTGCTCGTAAAGTCCAGGTCCTTCTTCCACATGTGCTTTATTAATAGGTCTATTTGTACTATTTCCTTGGTCTTGTTATATCTTGTGTCCACATAAAGTTTTCATAGGCCTCTTCTGTGAGTCCTCAATAGGTCTTTAACATGAGTCCTCCATAGGTCCCTCATATGTATCTTCAATAGTTCTCTCGTTTATGTCTTCAATAGGTATTTTACTTATATCTCCAGTAGGTCCCTCACTTATGTCTCCAATAGGGTCTCTCACTTATGTCTCCATTAGGTCTCTCACTTATATCTTCAGTAAATCTCTGACATAGGTATCATGCACGTCCCTCACTTATGTCATCAGTGGGTCTCTCACTTATATCTCTAGTAGGTCCCTCGTTTATATCTCCATTATCTCTTTCGTTTACACATACTATCGGTAGGTCCACCGACCGGCCTACTTGTCCTTAGATCCCTTAGATACATTACTAGTAGATCCACCAACCTACTACCTATAGGTCTCTTTCATACATATACTATCAGTAAGTCCACCGTCTTACTTGTCCTTAGGTCCTTTAGATGCATTACCAGTAGGTCCACCAACCTACTACCGACAGGTCCCTTACATACACCTATTATCAATAGGTCCACCTATTTACTTGTCCTTATGCACCACCATACTCGAGTTACCAAGAGGTCATCATCATGTCCGAGTGATATGTGTCATATTTACGTGCATTTTATAGTGATTTTTGTGCCCGTTTTGTTGTAGTTTAATATTTAATTATTTAATTACTTATTTCTTTTTATTAAGCTATGATGAAGTGTGTTATTTTGAGTTTTAACAGGAAAAAGGGTCGAATTATTTTTTGGAGTCGAAAATAGTGTGAACCGAGCCCATCAACATAGGCCACTACTTGGAAATTGGAATAAAAAGCTGGCAAATAAAATTAGAAGTTAGACCATGTGTGTAATTAAAAGAGAAGGAGCCCACTGCTTCAACCCACTGCTTGTAATTAAGAGAAGAAGCCCAGCCCAAGAAGCTTTTTAAGTGAGGGTACATGAGTCATTTGCTCAAGAGATAAGTGTTGTCTTCTTCTTCACCACATTCACGCCATCACCATGTCCATCATAGCTGCTGCAACTCGCCACCAACCGGGACCACCTCGACGCCGGGAATCGACCGCCATCTGTCTTTAAAACCTTTTTGACCTCCGCTTCAATAAATCACGCCGGAGAAGCTGTCTGAATATCATCGAGTTATTGCCGGAGAAAAATTTCTGCCGGAAGTTGCTTGGAGCTGGTCGGAAACCGCCTCTATGACCTATTTTCCGACCACCTGGACACCGTAATACCGCCTTTATCCGCCTTAGACACCTTCTGAGAAGTCTAGCAACCGAGAAGAGCTGTTGTTCGTCAACCTGCGCAAAGATGGGTGTACATGGCCGGAAAATGACCGGAATCCGCCATGCGAGACACCCGGGAAGCCTCTTGACGTTGTCTGACAAGATGGGACACCGGAAAACCGACCAGGAGCATATATACGAGCTAAATGTGAAGATTTCGAGCTATTTTTGGTGCCCAGGTCGACACGAGTCGTGTGACTTCCGACACGACTCGTGTCATTCCAACGGGTCGTGAATCGAGCTCTCTGCATAGTCACACGACTCGTGGAACCTAAGACACGAGTCGTGTGACCCTGGACGCCAATTGTACGGATTTGACGCGTTTTCCTATTTTTTCAGATTTTTCGACCTATTCCGACTAGGACTCGACCCCAACTATTTAAACAACACTAGGGCACGTTTTTGGAGGAGTCTTGGACATATTTTCAGATCTTTGGAGAGAGGCTAGAAACACGAGCAAGACGAGGGAGAAAGCCGAGAAGAGAGGATCGACGGAGCTAAATAAGATTTTTCTTTCCTCTTTCGAACTCAATGTTTTATATTTATTTTCCCTATTTTGAAAGCATGTTTTTAGGTTAGATTTATCTAGTGTTCTAAAAGTCGCTAGGCGCCTGCTAGGCGCTCGACCAGCGCCTAGTCAGGGCCCAAAAATCAATATTAAATACCTTATTTTTTATTTATTTTAACTACCTACAAATTGATGTTTACGCTCGCCTAGGAGCGCCTAGGTCCGCCTACGCCCGCCTAGACGCCGCCTAACCGTCTGGCCGCCGAGCCCGCCTAGGCGCCGCCTAACCGCCTGGCCGATTTTTTCTGCCGATTTGTACAAATCGAAGGCGCCCGGGCACCGCCTAGCGCCTAGGCCGATTTTTAGAACAGTGGATTTATCTTAGATTCTAGGATTTGTTAGTACTCGGATTGATTTATGATTTAGTTTTTATTTCTTTCATTCTGGATTATCTTTCGTTTATATTGTGTGA